TCTTTTGCGATGTCGGATAGGAAACGCGTGTTGGAGCTGAGCTCGGCAAGGCCGGTCTCCTGCTGCAGGAGGGGCGGAGCCAGGGCCTGGCGCCTCAGCCGTGGCCGAGCCCTAAGTTGGGGGACCCGTAGATTCCCCATTTAATACGGAATTATTGGCCTTCTTGTGAGCGCATACACCTACAAGGGTTGCTTTTTGCGGGTTTTTTTTGTGGAAGTGGAAAAGGAGAGCAGTGCAAGGATGAAAGGACCCGCTCGATGAAAAGCGGGAAAGGCCACATCAGGGCCTGCTCCCAAAGAAAGGCTGTTCCCTTGGTGTTCTTCCCCAGCAGCTCCAGGAAAGCAGCCCCTGCCATCCCTGCGTGGCCTCGTCCACCCCCAGAGACACCCCACCACCACCACCTTTGGCTTGCAGCCTGGGCTTCGTTCCTCACACAGATGGATTGTGACATAAAACAACTCCTGACCTTTAAAAGGGAAGACATAGGCCAAATGTTAACTCCTTTTTATTCTAAAGGGCATTTTTATGCAAGGTGAAAGGTTGTAAACTTTTCTTAAATGGGAAGGTTCAGGTTCATCCCATTGTTTTGTAGGTCCCCAAAGTTCAGAAAAAATGTAATGGTTTTTCTTCGCAGCATGTGTAGGTAGTTCAGAGATCTTCTTCCTTCTGCGAACACTGGCGTGCTGGTTCCCCAAGCTACCCCATTGCTAAATTGTTTCCAGTACAGCCTTTAATTTATTATTGTTGCAACACACAAATAGACCTTTGGTCCTTGTCATAAAAAGATAGATTGCCATCTCACATGCCTGAGCTTAAGCGTTAACATTTTCCGCATCTCCTCCAGTGTTGTATTCCAATATGAGGAACAACTCCTACTCCCAAAACATTTCTAAAACTCCCACAGGCACAAGCCTCCTTAGATAAAGCCGCTAGATTTTCGGCATCCTGTTTCAGTCTGTTACACAGAGCTATCTTACATGTGATTGAGAAAGCCAATATATGGAGCCAGCTACACGTGTGAAGCCCATCTGTGCATCCACAGCAGTGGGCACAATGATACAAGAAAATACTTATTTCATACTGAATACAAGACTTGTTTCCCATATAGTCCTCCCAGGTTATATGAACATTGGGCTACCTCATCTCCTCCAAGTAATCATTCCCTTTAAATCATTCACTTTACTATAGCATTAGCAATATTTTCTTTGATTTTTAACCAGGTAGTCCCCAAATTCACAAGAAATTTGGGACTTCCATCAGTGTCTTTTTTTTCCTTTTTTTTTTTTTTTACTTTCTTCCTCCCTTGTGTTCCTCACCCAGGAAAGCTGACAGGTCATCTAATCATGCCAACCTTAAAAAGCAGCTAATGTGCATATCTCTCCCAGTCTCTCGGATTAAATATAAAAACCTGTTTAAAAGAGAGATTTTTGTGTAGTCCCTAAATGCTGCAAATTGGGGGGAATTAACCTGTTGCAGGGTCTCAGCTAAAGTAAATAGCGAGAGGAATTGGCACTAGGAATTTGAGCTGGGATGAGCTGTGCCTAGGTTGAGAGGTGTATTTTCTTTCTGCAGCCCTTAATATACTTCATCATGAAGGAGAATACATTAATTAAAAGGGTAGTGTGATGGCAAGGAGAAATATTTGTAGCATGTGGATTAATTTAGAAAGCAGATGTAAATGCTAGTAACAATATAAGTAGTATAAAAATCCAGTTAAATAAAAGCTTATTTCAATTTTTGCCAAGGAAGATGACTCTACGAAACAAGAGGAACCAAATCAGATGGTTCATAGCTTGTGCCTGGTGATGTCAGCTGGCAGAATTCAGAGACAAGTCTACGTGAAGAAAGTCTAAATCAGCATAATTTATACCTTTATTCTCTATCCCTTGGCATGCAATTGAAAGCAACTTCAACTGAGATTTTAATAGGCTCATAGGACCTTGGCAGCCAGGTTCAGCACTGATGTACAAGGAGGTGTGAAAGCCATTCCATACATCAGTGTAATTCTAAGGGAGTCTAAATTAGTAACAAACATGGAACTAAAAGATACAAATAATCATTTAATTAAGGTATAAATCATCACTGAAATGTGTATAAACTCACTCCTAATGCCTGGCGTAGTGATTTAGTAGTCCCTTTTATTATGTCTGAATCTGACCCACTAACTTTACTTTGACACATTCACAGATGAACATACCCAAGCAACTTGTTTTCCTCCAGTTATTTCCTTTGAAAGCAGTTCCCGGGACTTAAGCAAAGAAAGTATTTGCCAAGGTCAACAGATCATAACCACTCCATATCAGAATAAAACTTAATTGAAACGATTTATTGGGCCAGCTCAGATTTCAGTGGATGTTCCCCAGAAATGTAAGTGCTATGAATGATCCAGTTCCTAACCAAATAATTTAGAAGTTTCTTGAGGCAAGACGATTCCTTGCAAAATACTGCAGAGGGAGCTCGAAGCCTGGGAGTGTTTCAAACTGAGCCTTTTGACTTCATGGCCTTAACTGGAGGAGCAGGGGAAAGAGAGCAAAAAAAGATTCATTTCTACTGAGCCTTGGGTGAAGTGTCAGTCACCGGGGTGTTCAGGCAACAAACACCCATTTTAGAGGCTGTGGACACGCAACGGTGAAGCGCGAGGCTGCCCTTTGTGGGGCCTGCTCACCATCACATTGCGTGAATAAACGTGGGGTGACTGAAAGGTTGCATTAAAAAAATGCAACCCCCTCCCCGCTTCTGGAATTGGGCAGCAACAGGGTTTTTGCTTGCTTGCTTTTTTACTCCTACAGTGAATAAACTGATTTTTGTAAAATGTCTTAATATATTTATTCAATGGCTCTCACCCATTGTTTGCAAAATCCCAAAGTGCACGTTTTCAGCAAATAAATAACAGTTTCTGCATTTTCTTTTGTGAATGAATTGATCTGTCTGTGTTTCTTCTGTAAGATGTTACCTCTGTTGCTATAACGTCTAGCGCAGAAAGAAGTAAAGAAACTATTTGTGAAGAGAGCTAGGATCCTAGGAGAAAACTGTCCATGACAAAAGGGCCTATAAGAAATGTTAAAGTATTGTGGGTTGAAAGAGAGAAAATTAGAAGCGGAGTGTGGGAAAAGCAAATAAGTATTGAAAAGAAAGTGAACTTCGGCACGAATAGGTTGTATACAGATAAAAGATCTGGCCAAGTAACAACAACAACAAGCAGTAAGTTGTTAACAGATGCTTGAACTTAATATTGAAACAGAAGAAGTGTTGATATAATTCTGTTGATACAGTTTTGTTGTGTTATTGCTGGCAGAAGTTGTTAGTTTAACTTTAGGGGAAGGGTAAATTGTAGACTTTTGTTTATTTTCTCCAGCTAAAAACCTCTGACTTGACTTTTTACCTATTTTTGTAGTGAATTTTCATCATACCATGTAAGTATGAAATCATTCAGACAAACATTTCACATGCCAATAAAGCTATGTGTATATATTAGACCAGCACATTTCATTCCTCTAAGCCATATTGCTTCCTTAAGCTCTGCAACATCCATTTTGTGCTTGGAAAAACAGAAGAAGGGAGAAAGAAAACAAGGGTTGTCTGCACAAGAATGTCATTGTGAAATAAGCCAGGGAGGAAATAAAAACCCTCCCCAAATAGTAGTGAATGATCATTAGATCTCTTTTGGGGCTCTTTCTATTCTATTCAGTCCCTGCTGGAACTAGGCTAAGCAGACCTGAAGAGCACTGGAAGTGTCCGCTCTCTGAGGGTTCCTTAGAATCGCCGCATGAGGCAGCTGTTCTGAGCAATCTCCTCCTGAAGATAAGTCGACAGCAGAACATGGTACAGAGATGCCAAATCTCCTGTTAACTTATGCCAACGCCTGTCTTCCACAGTGCCACACAGAGATGCCGGCGTGGGTCTGATGGCAAAATATCTCCCTTAGTGTGGTGAAGAGCCACCGTACTTAAACCATTTGTGAGTCCAACGAAGCAAGCAAAGTTAAGATACGAACTGGAAGTTGCTATTCATCCAGGGAAATAATCCATCTGTTCTGATTGCCAGGCTTGAAAGCTAATACTAATTAATTTCTGAAGAGTATATAAATTTGTTCTTTTATTTTCCTGAGCTGCTGCATGGCCAGTTCCCAAGCCCAATAAAATCATGAAAAGGAAAATACTTACCACATTAAGATTTATTTTCTTGGATAGAAAATAAATGGAGACGTTTTTCTTTGGTCTCCTTCTTTGCATTGGAAAATACAATATTCTGAACAGCTATAAAAAAAGTTAGGGTAACTTAAAATTAATTATTTTGCAGCAAATGGATCAGCTTTGCAGGAGTTTGCGCCACTTGGAAGTATTTCTTACAAGCATGGGAATAGTCCTATGCCACATGACTTCATCCTCCCACTGAAGGGAAGGGTTTTTCCCCTTTCCTTACTGAGTACAGCAGCACTCAGTTGCCCGCTACACAGCAGTGCAGTTGAAAAAGTAGTGGCAAGGATTTTTATTTTTTTTTGTCTGTGAATATTCCAGCTCTAATCTCTTCTGCATTAACAGACTCTGCTTTGGACCCAGTCATTGCCATGAAAATGGTGTGAAAAATGTAACCTTTTCCCCAGCCATGTCTCTGCATCCAGCCTGCACAATGGCCTCGTCACAGACCAGAAAACATCTTGGCCTCTAATCATCTCCCAGAGTTACTAAAATTTTGTTTTAATAAATATATGTGAATGCGCCTGGCCACACTTGCTTGATTTCCGAGTTAAACTCCAGTGTTGTGAGCTCACTACAGTAACTGGAGATGATGAGAAACCGAGGAGGGGATAAATTTCCTAAAATCAAGTATTACCTTAGATATCTGTGATTGGCAGTAGAATTACCCA